GTTGTGTTCATCGTAAAGATGTTTTACTTTTTCTTTGTAGGACTACATTAATTGTGCCGAAGTGTGGGTGGAATACACCTGCAAGCATTTCACAGTATGTATGACTGTGGTGGTGTTTTCAAAAGAATGATATTTTTTCATGTTCGTAATAGTGAATGAGTCTAGTTTTGGCATTTAGGCATTTTACAATGGTAATCATTCTTATAACTTAAAAAAATTGTGTTCTTTATAGTAAAGTGTGATGGAGTATTTATTAATAAGTGCATTATAACAAACATGTTCCATGCTTTTATGTAAATTTGGGAAAGGCTGCATTTGACAAAGTTAAACAGTTTTTCTCCCCAAAGGACATCTTAGATGCTTTTATGCTAAAGTGCAATGTGACTTTCCATAGGATCTAGTAAGCTTCATTTCCTAAATATATTTGACTTGCACGTAATTTTTTTCCTAAGCAAATAGAGATGCTTCTTTCCCTAGACAGAGACTAGAACCACAGTTTGGGGATTACCAGGCTTGTCAAAGAGCAAACACTTTAGAAGCAGGTAGAAATGTATTCATATCCTAGTGCCAGTTTTTTTTTTTTTAATCAACTTTGAGAAATTGAAGTATAGTGTTGTTATGGTCTGAATGTTTGTATCCCCCCAAAATTCATATATTGAAACTTAATCCCCAGTGCAGTAGTATTAAGAGCCTTTGGGAGGCAATTCGGTCATGAGGGCAGAGCCCTCATGTGTGGGATTAGTGCCCGTAGAAAAGAGACCCAAAGAAGGTTATTGGCCACTTCTACCACGTGAGGACATGGCAAGAAGGCGCCATGTGTGAGGAATGGGCCCTCACCAGACACCAAATCTGCTAGTGCCTTGATCTTGGACTTCCCAGCCTGCAGAACAGTGAGAGATAAATTTCTGTTGTTTATTAGCTACTCAACTTATGATATTTTGTTATAGAAGGTGGAACAGACTAAGGCATGTGTGCAAAAAAATACACATATTGTAATATTGCTGCTCAATGAATTTTCACAAAGTACACCCGTATAGTCACTGTCCAGAGCAAGAAATAGGAAATAACTTACCCCCCCCAGAACTCTCTGGCTCTGCCCCACCCGGTCACAACCCCCAGCCTTCGGGGAGTTGAAGATAACCTCCATCCTGGTCTCTAACACCAGAAATTGATTTGTCTTATTTTGAGCATTACGTAAATGTTGGTCCATTAATTTTGTTTTGTCCATTTTTTTTTTCGCAGAGGAACATACATTATTATTTTTAAATTATCAAGTGCATTCACAAGACAGAAGAAATAAGCTTGTACAAGGGTGATTTGAGCTGGCTGGGCCCAGCTGTACCTGAAGCACAGACTTACGCATCCAGGACAATGAAAGCTCAGCGCTGTCAGAACAGACTTCTGCAGCCGCGGGCCCTATTTTTATTTTACATTTTATCGTGGAAATTTTTAACATATGATTGATCTCTCTTGTACCCATCACCCAGGAATTACCAATTTATGACAAATCTTGTTCATTTATAGCCTTACAACTTTCCCCCAACCTTGGAATATTCTGAAGCACATCTCAAACATCATATCACTCCGTCAGTATTTCAGCACATCTGTAAAATATGAGGATTCCCTTTTGGAAACTGAATACATTATCCTAACTAGAAAAGTTAATAATTGTTTAACATCATTAAATATCAGTCAATATTCCAGTTTCCCCAATTGTCTCTTAATTCTTTTAGTTCAAATCAGGATTAAAAAAAGGTACATACATTGCAATACGCTTCTTAGGGTACTTTTGATCTGTAAGTTCTCTCTCAATCTCTCTCCTTCCCCCCTTCTCCTTTTTTTCTCCCTCCTGTAATTTGTTTGTTGAAGAAATTGGGTCTTTTCTCAAGTTTCCAAGACCTGGTTTTGCCGATTGCATCCTTGTGATGGTGTTTAACGTGTTCTCCTGCCTGTAGTATTTCCCATAAATGGGCAGTTAGCTCTAGAGACTTGAAAACCATTCCTAGCTAGTGGGCCATATACAAACAGGCCCTGGCTGGATTGGGCTATAGTAGGCTGACCCCTGATATAGGTGACAGAAGTGAACGGTGAGGAATTGGTCAGATACCTTGTAAGGGGCGAGGTATCCTCCTCCCACAATGCCTCACTGTGCTCCCCACGGGCGCCTCAGGGCGGGACCTGGGCTGGGCAGGCAGGAAGTGGCACGGTGGATTCCATCACCACTCAGGGCGAGCAGGCGCGAGGTAAAGCCCCAGGACCTTGGAGAACAGTGTTTAGTCCTGACGTAGTGCAGGGCTGTGGTACCAGCCCAGATGATATGGGTGGGATTTCTCCCCTTCTGTTATTTTCAGCAGAATGTTTGAAACCTTTGCCTGGAAGATGTGAGATATATTCTGAATATGTTACTTCTTTCCCTGAGGAAAATGGTCACCGATTGCCTTTTAGTGTCTGATCCAGGTTTGATGTCTTTTCCCCACTTAGAAACGAGAGGTGAATACGGTTTTGGCTGATGTCATCAAGCACATGACTCCAGATCGCGCATTTGAAGAGTCCTACCCTCAGGTAACAGGTTTGCATTTCTCATTTCAACACTGTTAGGGATTTTGTTCTGCTGAATTAAACACTCGTGTTACATGGGTCAGGCTGAAAGTCAGATAATCCTGTGTTTGAATCATAGCTCTGCCATATCCTAGCCACGGTGCCCTTTGATCAGTTACTTAACTTTGTCGTGCTTCAGTTTTCTCACCTGTAAAATGGGGATAATAATAGTCCTGTCCTCAGAGTTGTTGTGAGGATTGAATGAGATGTATATGGGAAGCCCGGACACCGTTGCTTAGCACATGGTAAATACTGAAGAAGGAGCAGCATC